CTAACGATCGTGTAACAAAAGGGGATGACATGACAGAGTAAAATATAAAATTCATATGATCAAAATGGCTTATACGCAAGAAGTAAGTAAAAATTCTAGTGTGATGTTCATATCATTAGGCGTTCATTACTTGCAATTAAAATGTAGCGCTAGGCCTTACGTGAAGGCATTCTTAAGGGCGGCGTGTTTAACGGGTTCTGTTTCCGCGAAGTCCTGAGTTCTACTGCAAGCGAAGGACTAGATCTTGTTATTTGGTATTGCTTGCTGGATTTGGGGCTGAGTTTTCAAGAAGTCCGTATAAAATATAAATTCACATTAATGTTGACATTATCGGTTTCCCGTGAAAACGCTGAGATGGTAAACCAGTGAGGTGTAAAAGCAAAGTCAGTATTGAGTAACTACATGTACAAAAAGGATATCGTTCTCAAGGAACAAAGACGACACTTTCGATTGTGGTTTGTTTCCAGAAGTACGACACAAAGGTCGAGCCGGCTGATTTTTATATCATTTGTTGCTTCACACTTCTGTACTGAATTTTTTATTCGTACTATTTTATGTTCAAATACACATTTCGTCACATTACTTGCATAAAGTGGATAAAATGAGGTGGTACAGACAGCTTCCAAATGTGATAGGTAAGTCTGCCTGCGAATGTATGGAATAAGCAGTCGCGTACAGCTGACAAGAGGTGGTCGAACAGTTCTTCACACTGTAAAAACTAGCACGCATGGCCTTTGACTTGGGCGTGCTGTCGGAAACACGGAAATTAATCTTCGGGTTCCATAAAAGGTGAGGAATTTTTTGAATGCCCGAGCCACTATTGCCATTTCAAGAAGGACTCTGCTGTGTAGAGTTAGTGCCTAAAATGAACGCACAATGCGGATGTCGTGCGTCCGTCCTTCCACATGTTTCTTCTAGGAAGCTACTTAACTGGATGTCGATAATATTTGATGTTAGGGATTTGCTCTGATAACTGTCCAGCGAATTTGTGTTTGGTTAGAATTAATAAATCGTTTCTTCTTCACACAAAGATCAAATTAAATGTTATCGATTTTCTCTTTACTGACGAAACATTTTACAGATTTTATTGGTCATGTCTTTCAAGTGATCTGTTTACCAACGTATTAGCTATCTATCACGATAAAGCTCCAGTATAGATGCATATAATTTACAATTTATACAATTTTATAATTTACCATCCCTTTGTAAGTTTTGCCTAGTTCCTTGTGCACTGGATTACTCAAGGCTTTTTATACATGTGGAAGTCTCATACTTGTACTGAACCTAGCGGGGAATCGCCGGTCAAGTTACCGGGAAGCCGAACAAGACAAGCCGCCAGAATCTTTAAGATATCTCCCTACAAGAACTTGGCTACGGTTGCGATAGATACCTTCAACAGCAAACAATGCATACTAAATATGAGCATCCAAGTGGCTCGATGCTTGCGCGATTCACTTCAGAATGTTTTGTCTTCCCGTCTCCTATTTAAAATGTGCACATACCTATATAATTGTACATCTTGTTTCATATGGGTGTGAAACTTCGTCCAAAGGGAAGAAAGAAGATTGAGGCTGTCTGAGAACAGTGCTGAGGAGAATATTTGGACTGAAGAAAGAACAAAATAGGGGAACTGAGAAATCTGTGGTGTGAGTGGTTCTCCAGTTCGTATTCCTCACCAAATGTTACTTGGGTGATGAAATAAATGTCACTAGATTGCCGTCGCATGTGGCATGCTTAGGAAGATAATAAATAGGCTTAGATTCACAATTACAATCGCGAAATTGAAGGGTGAGAAAACTTGCGGTCAGAAGCAGAGATGGGACGATAATATTACCAAATAAACAGGGCATGAGCGCGAGGAGTGGATTCGTGTGGCTCGGGATAGGGTGAAGTGATGGGGTTTTGTGAACACAGTAATGAACATCTGGGCTCCATAAAGAGCGTGGAGTTTTTTGACTAACTGAGTGACCAATTAGCTTGTGAAGAAAGATTCCGTGAGAAAGTTTGCAAGGTGTGAAAATGATCACAGTTTCATCTACTGCTGAGGTTAAGAATGTGTGGAGTTATAGATCAAGGCCTCTTATACTTATGTAAGACGAAGCGCCCCGACACTTATCAACTTATCAGTTTTGTGTATTTGTTCTCTATTTAACTTACTTTTATTGTGGTTTCGTGGGACGACTACGGTCTGACATGCCACAGAGATGGCACATATCTAGATGTACCATCACCGGACTTTTGGTCATGTATAATTTTCCCTGCTACCGCAGTTTTCACCAGTTGGCCACACTGGGGTCTATCTAATGCGATTATGCAAACATCATTCAACTATTAGCCCTTCTGTATATAAATTAGGCTGTAACCGGTCAGTAATTGGTCTTATTACCAAGGGAACTCACACATAATTCACTAAAGACATCCATCCACTTTGTGTTTTGTAATTTGGTAAATTTAACTGCTGGTCGTGTAAGTACAGGAACTTGAATCTTTCGAAAAAGACGGTCAAATTATTAAGACTGTGTTCTTGGGGAGAGATTCCAGTACCAGGTTCTTCTGTACGAAGCTAATGTGCTAATGTGACGAGCAGCATGGACCCATCTTGTTATGAACAGTTTAACGTGACAGAGGGGTGTTTCCTCCTTCCCCCTTCGAATCCATAATTTCTAGTCTCACTGCTGAAATTGTTTTAATTAACTTTAAAATGTATTTTAAACAAGCAACCAGCTGTAACATTTTACATCAATAAACGCAAAATATCCTCTAATTCATGTGCGGTTTCTTATCACTCGAACTCTAGAATAGAGGGTTTGTATCCCACTATGGAGCTTTCTGTGTTGTCTTGTGTAGGTAAGGAGGCTGTGCGAAGGTCCGATCCTCCACCCAGAAAAGTCTACTGATTGTACGTGAATCGAAACTTACTCAGGAAGTACTGAAAGTACCCACTGCTTCTAAGATTTCGAAACCTCTCCTCAAAGAATTTGTGTATCTGTGAAGAGGATCTTCATGTATGTTGTGTTATCATTCGCTTAGCGCTATCACCTTATGCCGGAAGGTTCGTCGGGGGTGTACAGTAGACATGTGTCTTTCCCACCCTCTGACTTGAGTCTAAACCCCAGAGTACACGGGCAGCATTTCAAGTGAAAACCACCAGCCTCTGAAATACTATGAAGCTGAAGTAGAGAGGATTGTGATGGGGCGGTTTTAAGGCCCACTGGCGCATCTCATGCATAACTGAGCTCCTCCATACTCATCTGAAAGCAACCCACACCCCCTGGTGCGAGGTGCGGGGTGGCAGGGGTGTATTATAGCGGTAATCCTCTCTGAGAAGAGATCGTTTTCAATTTGGAGAAACCGCTTAAGTAGATAGCCTCTGATCTCACCGTGGCGCATGATGGGAAATGCAAAAAGGGGGAAAAAGTCAGTCAACTCTTTAGCTTGAGCGTCTTCTTCTTCTAATTATAGCCCGTATTTTCGGTCGAAATAGATATTTGCAATTTTTGTGTGGCCTATATAAAAATGAATGAAACTAAATGCAGTTCCATTTAGCATATTAGGTCCCATGAGGACGATTTTCAAAACACTTTGCTTTAAGAAAGAAATGAAACTAGGATAACTCTGCCAGGGCGATCCGTCATTCATGAAGTCGCAGCTGAAACGATTTGGAAGTTTAATTTTTCTTACTGTGTTATAAGTGACAAGTTGCCACCTATATAGAAAACAACGTCTATGAAAGGAATGACAAACGTATAGAATAATTGTGCTTAAATGCCTATGAAGTCTGTCCTAATGTTAATGATTTGTCTTCGAACCTTGGATGTAGTAGTTTAAAGCAGTCATTGTTCCAGTACACGTGGAGATTCATCGATGCGTTTCTGAATTTCACTCAGGGAAAAAAGTTCAAGAACAATTGTTTTCAGTTTAACTGCACCCACCTGTGCAGATAGACCAATCCACTTGAAAATTTGATAGTTACTCAGCGGATTTAAGTATTCCTTAGTTGGCTTCTTATTTTATGAAACTTTAAGATTTATTACCTTATTCACAAAATCCTGCTCTTGGATATCATCTTCAACAACCTGAATTCAGTCCACACCTTCACACATGATTTACCTTGAGATCAGTTTTAATATCATATTCCATCCATGTCTAGGTCTTCCGAAAGCGATCGTCCCTTGAATTTTCCGACTAAAAAGTAGGCCCCTTCGACTTCTCTCTTCTCAGTGTGTGTTGCATTCTTCGCCCATCTCACACTCTTTGATTAAATCACCAAATGTAAGTCTAGAGCAAGCCTACAAACACTTCAGCTCCTCATTACGTAATTTTCTCCGTTCTGTTATTGTTGTTGTTTTACTTGGCGCCGACGTTGGCAGTCGTTTAGGCCTATCGCAGTCCCTATGCAATATACTGAAGGAGTATCAGCAGTGTGGACAGACGTTCCCGTAGCAGGTAGAACTTATTTAAGGCAGTAAGAACATCTTATCGTGGACGTAACTAAGCGGAAAATGGACTGTTGCGTTAAGTAGGCGGCTTACCAAAATTTACTACGGCTTCATTAAGTAATCAGTAAATAAATATATGACGACGCTAAGTTGGCCATCATTCATGGACATGCTGCGTTTCATTACGGCGCCTTGACGTTGAAGACAGGAGATACAGTAGGCCTAGTTGCTGTGACGTCACGAACAAATAAACGAATAATTATAAATGTCAGGGGCAAGCACTTTCGGACGGCAGCAACAAGAAACGGAGTACTGGGAGAAATATGAGCGGCGTAGTACAAGTTGCTTGGAAGAGTGTCGTTAAATAACCGAGTGTGAGCCTAGAGTCATTAGGTGGCACAGCCGAGCTCGACAATGTGTTTGGATGAACGAATGCTGGGAATCAGAGACGGAGTTGTCCGAAGGATTACCTGAAGAAGTCGTTCCTGCAGAAGAGTTTGCCCTCGCGGCTGAAGCACTTGTCCGTGAGGTTGCCTCTGCAGTCGTAGCACCGCACACACTCGGCGTGCCACGTGCGCTCCAACACGTTGAGCAGGAACTTGTCCAGGATGGGCTTGGCGCAACCCGCGCACTCGATGATCATACTGGCGGCAGAGGCGGGGAGCAGCGCGGCGGGGTGGACTCGACCTGCACAAAACTGCACTGTTACAATCCCGTGGGAACAGCGGGAACAACCAGACACTGGGCTAGCCCTATAAAAACTGATACTAGTCTACAGTGACGGGCCAAAACCGTCCAAGACGGGTATCCCGCGCTTAAGATGGCCATGCCGCGACAGCGGACGAGTGAACCCGACCTGCATGAAACAGCAAGTGAGATTTAAAGTTCTCACGGAGACAACTTGTCTTCTGGGATGTTGCGACGTGTCGTCTGGTGGTAGAAACGTCGATCTGTTCCTTCGAGACTACACGGCGCAACATCCCAGAAGACAGTCACCTTCTTACAATGGTCAGTGAATGGAAGTAACAAACACTGTTCAACAGAGAGTCGTAATACATTGTTGGCAAAAAGTCCTCGACAGTACACGGCAAAGATGTGTGACTTATTTTGTTTCGGCGGACAAGTTTATTTCGTCTGTACATCTAATAACACAAAAATGTGTTCAAAGTCTTTTGGCCCATTCTGTACAATGGCAAGTCCTAAGCTTTACAGGAGTCAGCCTGTGAACACGATGACAGTTCTGGCGGCAGAGTCAGGACAGTCCCGATCTGCGCGGACCACCATCATATCATCACGTGGTACGGGGGAAATTGTCAAATATTTGCCACAATCAAGTAACAGGACTAAAAAGATCGTCCATGAGAATAATAAAGAAGACACAGCTGATAAAAATGCAGCCCTACGCAGTTGTGACAACGCGGAAGAATACAAAATTAAATTACAACAAATTTAAAAACACAACATTATCGAAAATTGGCTCTCTATCTGCTGGATGGTCGGGTTTCGATTTCTGTGAGGCGCAGATTTCTTCTCTTGCCACCACATGTCTATATTATCTGTAAGTCTCATCCAGCCGGGGCAAAGTGGCAGGAGGGTTATGGAGATCACTGATCTCCATCTGACGCTAAGATCTACAGTTCGTGGGTAGCCTATTTACCTTCACGTCCCTATACACTTTCATGGCGCGGTGCTTAAGTACAGTAACAACGTTTGCTTTATCTGAGGACCTAGCTACATAAGGTGGACAGATGTAGCGAAGATTAATCTAATATGAGAGCCTTGGAAATTATAAAAGAGATCTAAATAAAACAGTTTTCAAAGAAGAATGTAATGTAATTTGAGGAATCCGTGAAAATTAAGATATCATAGTCATAGGCGTATATGGCAGTTGTACTGCGCAGACGATCACTGATATTAGTCGCGTGTTTGTGGGCTCCGTCATTAAATTAGTTAATGGAGCCCCAGCACACTCAAGACCATGCTAATAATAGAAGAAGTGTGGGTTTTACCGCACTTTTACACGCTTGGATACAACCCTGATTACTTAAATTTATATACGCTCTATTTATATGTAAATTACGAGAAGGAATTACTGACCTCGTGTCTCTTTTACAGATCACACAATCGAGTTTCGTGAACCGTCCTATCACTTTGTTTATTTTTAGAGACACATTTTATAGGCTGACAAAGGACGATTAGCAGTTTTATACACGTGCAATTAAACACAATCTTTTTTATTCCTCAGTTATGGAGGTTTCATTTCAGTAAATATACTTGACAAATTTCAAAATTGTCAAAGTGGAATGTCATGATTCTCTAAACGTGCGTGGCAATGGTTGTTTATGACACAAATACAATGCTGGCTGAACATTGTCCATTTTCTGAAGTAGGATATATTTTATATAGACCTTTGCTGTTTGCTACACAAACGTTAAAATTTTGTAAGCATTTCTAATCTCACCCTTGCACATAGCATTCCGACAATCTGCAGTCTATAGAGTAGCCTGCCGCTAAACAACACGAGAAACATTAAGTTACCGAGTTTTGGGAATAAATGAGCGACTGTCGAGGAAAACGTCAGCCTGATTACAGGAACAGCGCGTATTTCTGTTCTCATGTTAACGCAGCGTCGCGATGGACGCTATCGATCAGTGGCTGAGTTACCATGCAACGAACGATGCCTTGTGGGGTTGGAGGGGGGGGACCTGAATATCGATATGCAACGATTGCCGAGATTTTTTCGGTAAAGGAGAATTGTTGTTCCGGGTTTGTGCAGAAAGATTTCAATGGCGGCTTTATGGCATGTTTCAATATTGGCTTATATTAAGAGTGCAAGACAACGAATGGAGGAAAATCGTGTCCCAAGTGAGTTTTGACAGTCCTATGGTCCTCGAGGAAAAAATAATTATGGAAGACCTTATAAATAGATGTATAAATGCCGGAACAGCCGTTGGAGCTAATCCTTGGAGGTGCAAATGATCAGAAGAGACTAGAAAAGTAACTTGAAGTGGTCCATGTTTCGAAAGCAACCAACCACCAAATGTCATGTGTATTCTTCCTAGGACATCAACTTGTTTCCTGAAACTAGATAATTATTTGTGAGGAACCCTAAAGAGAAGAGACCACTCTAAGCAGCTAGGGATGTTCTGGATCGGGCGAGCAGCTTCAGCATTTCACGGAGAACTCTGAACCGTGGAGATGGCTGTCGTCCTAGGTCAGTTTCAGAATGCACCGAATCGTTCTGAATCATTACTTATTTGTAGCTTGAGGTTTTCAGCTAGTCTTTCGTGGAGATAAATGTCGCTCTCCACTAATTTATGATAAAAATAAAGACATACGATCTTCTCAGAACTTCACATCCTTGAAAACAAAAGCCAATCAGTTACGTGTTTTTATTAAACCGAGATAGCTCTACGACAACGATCTAATCCTTTTGTCTCTACGGTGCACGTTCCGGGCTTATTGCGAATTCAGGAAAAGTTTTCGATTGTGAATCAGAGTCAGAACTTTGCGTGGACCTAAATACCTTGAAGTCGAAACATTAAAGTAAATAAGGAAGTGCATAATCCGAGGACTGACAACAGTCGACAAGATTATGACATGTGCATAACGAGACAGTAATTAGCCACCTACTGGGAGAACGTCGAACTACTTGTCACATGGAACACTTCAACAGTTTGGGTTGTGACTCTCGAATATAATTTACGTTGCTGTTGTTTGTTTTATGTAACACAGTCTGCGCTCTGTTGGCTCGAATTACCCTTGAACATGCAAGTTTGTGTACTCCGTTATGTTCCCATATCATTACGACTAATCTGACTCCGAGTCCTGGACCCCACACACTGTGTGTGGGTCATGCACTGAGTGTCAGCCCCACTGTTCCTGGTTCAGTCCTTCCTATCGGACGCCACTGCTACCTCACCAAAACACTCCAAAGTCAGATAAAATATGTCGTGTCTGTAAAATTTGGTCTACCTGTTTCGGAGTAACTTGTTACTTCCTCGCTCATGGTCCAAATAGCAAGAAAGTAGTGTGAGAGAGCGAACTGGCCTGCTGAAATGCGTCTGTCTCTTAAACTGTACATCTTAGCCAGGATATCATGATGTAGTATGGGAATCACACTCTTAGGGACTCCTGTGGGCTAGGAAGAGGATCTCTTTCTGAACAAATCTCAGAAAGCGTGAAAACCACAATTCTCATACGTTTCTCTGCTTGTTAAGAATGTTATTTCAACATGATACGTAGTTCAATATACTTTCTATCGTTAAGGATCTATTTGCCATAAAAAAACCCGTCTAGTGTGGTGATTACTTGACTTGTCTTTCAGCTTATTTAATGACTCTGTGACAACTGTTGTACTTTATAATAGTGTATAATACTGGGCCGTGCATTGTATAAAGATTATTTATTTAGTTGGAAGGAACAAGATCATATACTATAATACAAATAAATAAATGATATTGTACGATGTTATGCATGCGTTTACAGACTAAGTCGTTCTCATCCAGGCGAAGAAGTTTATAGACACATTGCACAAACTGGCAGACCTAAACATCACGTTTAAATTAAATTAAATTTGACTCAAGTTCACTTACGCAACTGTGTGAGACCGATTTGTAGCTGTAACTAGTATCAGCGTGACTGCTGCATTATGCACAAATATACAACTTATCGTTGAGTTGTGCGATGGAATTAGTTCTAAGGAAGTAAATAGTAATTACAAAATAGATGTTTGTACCTAGTTTTATATAGGTTTAAATCATGTAATATCCCATAGGCCTATTCACTAAATTTATCGTCATTTAAAATGATTGGCATTTATGAGCCACGAAACTAAATAATTTAGTGAAAATATGAGGCAAGAGTATATGTGTGGCCCATATTCCTTTTGCTCAAATCACTGTTAACTGCTGTATGAATAAAACAGTGTATGTAGAAAGCGTATTCTTACCAATAAAGGGGCTATAACAAGCAAATTTACTCAAAATGATGCTAAAACATAAAATACGTCGGATAGGCCTACTCCTGTAGGTCAGTCAGGTTTCCGCGCGTGTGCGTGGGTGTGAGGCAAAATTGGAATTGCATTGCCTCTAAATCTTTGCGGGCTAGGTTCAAATGCAGCTTCAGCTTGTTTCGCGGACGTATTTAACGGAACGGTCATGCATGGAATTTTAATTAGTAGGATCCTATTGCCATTATGTTTGTTCATTTTGATAATTTATAATTTTATACTGTATTGATAGTTCTGTAAGCTATTTTTACTTTTGTACTTTCACATTAGCTTTGTTATCATTCTGATTTTATGTTTCTTTGCATGCCTATTCTTCCTTGTTTTGAAAGGGAGATACTTGTACGTTGTGAGTGCATAAAATATATTATTGATTTTTGTTTTATATTTGTTGATTATTATTACTATTAGATCTGACTCAGTTTCAGAGGTCCAGCTTCAACAGTTGATACATTCTGATATAGGCCTATACCAGTGTTCCACACCAATCACGGTTCATTTAATGTTCTCAGTTTCAACGCTACGTACGTGCCAATAGTACGGTACGTCATTCAACTGAAATGCAATCCACAGAATGCTTAAGAAGGTTATATAATGCGTACATCACATTAACAACCAAAATAAAAAGGCCGACAGACGATAAATTGTAATTTGCTTTTATTTCTGTCGCTATCAAAGT